GGACTGAGAAGAGTCAAGCCTTTGCAATTCTTTCAACATCCTAATGTGAAAGGCAAATGACATGTCAGTTGCTGATTGGTGATATCAAACACACATAAAGAAATTATTGCAATTTTACATGTGTGCAGTTAAAAGTTTTTTCAAGGATAGAAATCCTTGTAAAACTCTCCAGTTTATTACATACAATCTTTTCATAGCCATATTAAACTATTTTACCACAGATTTTTACCAGTATGCTCATATTTAGCACAGGACATATCCACTTGGTCAGTCAGATCAACAAACCCTGTGATCTCATGAAGCCATCTTCTAAAGTCATTGTATAGGGTATTCCTGAATAGAGAAAAAAAAAGACAAAAGTCTCACAAGCATAAATCCTAAGACAATGAAAAGTTTCCAAATACATATTGGATACTAAGACTGTGAGCACCATATACATTTTGCCAAAAACTGTATGAAAAAATAGTAGTTGGAAGGTTATATATCCTCCACTTATCAGTACCTTAAAGAAGATACGCTCAACTTTGAAGACTTCTTAAGATCATCACTCTGAAATTGAAATTAAATTGAAAAATTCTCAAAAGGCCGTGGGAAAATGAGTTAAATGATAATTCAAATATTTGAATTTAAGATACAGCAAACATTTACCTTGTGAAATTTATATAAATCATTTGATTTTTCAAAAAAATTTAACTTGAGAAGATCTTGCTCTAAACTCTTTAGAAATTTCTCATCCGATATAAAATTAGGAATAAAGCAGCACTTGAATGGTTTGGTATGAATCACACATCCATTCTCTGGAGAAAAAGGAATAAAAAATGAAAGTATGTTAATCTATTTCCTTTACCCTTTGACTTCCAAGATCTGATTGTTAATTCTCCCCTTTGGCTGATACACATTTCCTTGTATATTGGTTATGAGAATTTGGTGTTCAATCAAGGTAATATCATGTACCTGATGACTTTAAGTATTCTCATTACCTGTTTGGTAAATAATGTATGGATATTATAGGGAGAGGTTACATATTAGTCACTTCTGGGAGTTAAAAGGTGTTGAAGATGTAATTGCAAAGTACTAAGAATGGTTTATACCAATCAGGATAGTAAACATGTAATTTGCTACTGTTTAACACTTTACACCCCAAAATCAGCATACATTCTCTATACTGTCCTCCATACATTTTCCAAGGAACTGACAAGGAGAATTTATTTAACAATCAAGAGCTTCTTTGCTGTTAATCATTTCCTTTATTCTTGTATCCTCAATGTGTGGTTCAGGGCTGATACTGTGAGGGGAGATATAAGGTTCTAGTCACTCTTTGAGGTCAAAGAGTTAACTCCTTGAAACTACATGGAAATGTAACTTCTCCCTCCAGTTTTAACCCTTTAACTCGTAAAAGTGCTTGGCATCTGATTTCTCCTTACCATATCACCCCTGAATCAAACATTAAGGTCAGGAGAATAAAGAAGCTGATCACCCACTAAAGAAGATCTTGATTGTTAGACAAATTCTCAACATCAGCATCTTAGGAAATTCTTAAAGAATAGTATGGAGAATACATATACTGATTTTAGGGTGTAAAGGGTTAATGAATCGCACTGTAAATACCTATCAACTGGAGAGTGTTATACTGATAAGAATCTAGATTCCCTTATCTGATTTTTTCTTTGAAATATATAACAGCTATAAGGAAGAATTACAAGTTGGAACTTTGGAACTGAAAAGGGGGATTCCCTGGTAAGTGTTAAGTTCGCTTGTGAATACAAATATTTAAAGAAACAAGTATTGTTCAAAGATTCTGTTTTTTTTTACTTCGACCTCGTGGTCCAATTTTCTTGTTTCCCCCCCCCCCCGCCAGATGGTCACGTGACTAAAGTACTCTGGAGGCTGGGGTAGGGTAGCTGTCTACCCCTTACATAAGCGATCATATTTATGCGTGCAGTTTTTATTCCATGTCTGTTCATTTTTTGCTAGTTTATTATTTCTACTGAAAAAATGTTGTTTACAATGATTGACAGGTGAAGCCATCGGAATAATTTAGAAAACTATCAAGTGCTCTGCTGTGGTCGTTCATGAATGTTTAATTAGGTCATGTTAGGCTAGGTTACATGAAAACTTTCACTTTAAATGTGTTAGAACATTCAGGTTGTCGGTACTTACCATTAAAATCCTCTTCATTCCTATATGAAAAAAAATATGTGGAATTCAATTAGGAGCCATTTTACAGAGGAACGATTAAGCTTGCGTAAAAAATAAACATGTGTTCACGTACGTTACGTATCGCAATACTATAACCTACCTATATGCACCGATAAATTTTGCTTTAAATTCCTCTGAGAGGAAATAGTGACTCAAAAGTTCACCCTCGAAATCACTCTTTGGCTTCTTAAAGCTTTCTGAAGCCCCATTCGTGGAATTTTCCTTTCTCTTCTTGTAAGATTCCATCCTAAAGGCACATTTCGCATGTAAGAACAGTTTTCGTCAGGCGTTCTAGGAAATGTCAATACCTGGCTGCTAAGTCGACTGTGTAGCCTCGCCAAAAACGTCCGGGCGACAAAATTCAACATGGTGGTAAGTTTTGATTTGAATTGAGTTATCGGTAAGTCTTGATTTCCTACTGATCTCGCGTGGAAAACAACTCTAACAGTTTATTATTGTTTAAAGCTACCTCTGTCTCTTCTACGGACGGCACAAAACCACCCTATGGTAGGCACACCTTTCACAATGCTGTGGTATTACTTTGCACGTTACACTTTGTTCGAGTCTTTTTTGTTCGGGAGGCATTTGTAAATTATTAACTCATATTACTTCCGTGATATTTGAGAATTTAAGTGTAGCTTACAAAGAAACGTCGTAAAAAGTCGTGTGCATTCATGTTCAAGTTTGTAGATGCCTAAGAAAATATTTGCAGAAGGGATTGTTACATGCACATTTGTAACAATCGTTTTCTTACATTTGGTGGATACTGATGTACTTCGAATAAGGCCAACTTTATCATAAGTACTGATAGCACTTGTGGATGCATTTTTTTTCTCTTTACAGCTGGTGGAACTGAAAAATGGAGAGACGTACAATGGCCATCTTGTAAGCTGTGATAACTGGATGAACATAAATCTTAGAGAGGTCATTTGCACTTCCAGAGTAAGTTCATTTGTCATTGCTACAGTGCCACTGAAAAGTAAGTCGACAGTCTCGACTCGAAACGTGATTAAGTTGATCTTCTAAACTTTAGAGAATCAAGAATTAAGGCTCAAGAATCAAAAATCAAGATGCTCAAAGAACTTGTTGAGATTCATGTTCCATAGTTTCTAGGAAATAATTTATCTTTTGTATGAATTATTCCATTACTAACATACATTTTCTGAAAGAACTATAAAGTTTTTTATGTGTTTAGCAGTGATTTTTATAATTTCTAAACTCTCTTTCAGGATGGTGACAGGTTTTGGAAGATACCTGAGTGTTATGTGAGAGGCAGCAACATAAAATATCTTAGGATTCCAGATGAGGTACAACTTGACTAAACGCAATTTTTAATGACTGTTTCCCAACTGACCAGTGAAATGATTTTAATATACACTGTACAACAAACCCTTTTACACCTTTACATCAGAGTGGATATTCTCTATACTGTTCTCTATACATTTCCTGTGATAATGACAAGGAGAATATATTGAATGATTACGAGCTTCTTAAGCAGGTGATTATTTCCTTATTCTTGTGACCTGAATGTTTGATTTAGTGGCAATATTGTATGGAGAAATAAGATAATGGTCACTCTAAAAGTGAAACTTAAATGAAACCAGGTTGCAAATTATCAGACCTGGTATCTCCTATGTGGGGTTAGTTTATGTTTTCGTGTAACACATGTATCCTTTTTTGTCAATACTTCAAAGGTTATTGACATGGTGAAAGATGAAATGGTGAAACAAGGGAAAAGCAGAGGTACAGGAAGACCAGGTAAAGTAACCTGGATTGTTGAAACAGAAAGGATTGTTTTTTGCTACAGCATCTAAAGCACCTTCACATCAGCTAGGCCCCATACTGGTTGGTTTCTATTATCATGTAGACAGCTGTGCCTATGAGAGTCTGCTCACATTGTTCTTAATATCTTTGGATGATCCCTAGCTCACATTTCAATTTTCTCACATACATATATCAAGTGCTGGATTGGAAAATTTAATTTTTTGATCCAAGTCAATCTTTCTTTCCATAGATCTGTGAGCTTTTTCTCCTAACACTGGATAAATCTCTTTATTCTCCTTATCAGTAGCTTTTCATTTGCATATAACTGATCCACTTTTTCTAATGGAATTGATGTGTTTTATCCTCAGGACGAGGTGGTCGTGGTGGGGGTGGAGGCCGTGGAGGTCACAGAGAAGGTGGCAGTGGAGGAGGAGGAAGAGGGGGATCATTTGGTGGGCGTGGTGGAGGAAGAGGGGCAGGGGGCCAAAAGAGAAATAGAGATGATAGCTCTGGAAAGTAGTGTGATGGCTTTGATGTACATGTAAATATATGTAGCTATCAATTGCATAAAATACTTGATACAGTAGGTACAAAAATAGTTTTTTTCTATCTTATGCTTCTATGTAAGCTGCATACATGGTTTTTATCAGGCATAAGGAATCTAAGTTAATGAAGCTGTGGTATTCCTGTGGACACTCTTTGAGCTACATGTACATATGTTACTGTTTAAGATAGAAAAGATCATCTACATGTACATATCTGTGGCAAACGCAAGTGTTATTTAAATAGGTTGCATTGGTGTACATGTGTCTGTCTCTTTATCTTATAGTTTCTTTGCTCATGAAGAAGAGCTGGAAGCAAGCTGAAATATTTTTTTTAAATTGTCAACTTCAACAACTGTACCTTGAAACTACTAAGTGCATCAAATTAGGTGGCATTTTGTTTCCTTGTATTGTTTATTTTGTGTAGTAATTGAAATTGTACTCAACAAACCAGAGCTTCAATGCATCTTAGTTAAGATTTTATATTGAGAACTATGGTAAGATTTCATTTTGCTTATAGTAACCTACTTTAACCCACTATTGCTTGTAGCAAACAGCACAATGTTCTTTTTTTTATTAAAAAATTATTACTTTCATTTGTTTGATGCAACATTTGCATCTTGTCTCTCCTTTCCCCTCACAATAGTCCATAGCACATTATTGTTTTTGCTTAGTTGCCGAGCCTTTGAGAAGGAATGAGGCAAAGGTTGACCCTGTTATTTTACAAATGTTGCTGCTTTTCAAATGCAAATTACTTTTTTTTCATGCTAACTAGATACTGGTCTCTATCACTACAAGGTCACCTTCAGACTCACTCCAAATCCAAGGCTTGGCAACTAAGTACACAATTATATAAATTGGCCTATTCTCAACTTGTCTGGACACGAAAGGATTCATTTAGTGAGAAGGCATTAAATGAAAAGTACAGCTCAAACAATACGTAACTGTGTAGGGTTTTAAGGCTATAGACTGATGCTTGAATGAAATGAACCTATGTTTTTTAACCAACAAAATTTTGAACTTTACATTCTCCTCATTAAAAAAGAACCCCTCTTTCTCTCCTACTTGAGTGTTTTTTTCCTTCGTAGAATCGTAATTTTTTGCGAAAAGAAAACCGAGAACTGTATTGGTATACACCAATTTCAATTTGAACTCGTTTTGCATACTAAAAACAGTTATGAATACAAATATGCACCAATATAGCTATAGTTGCGTAGAGGAACGATAACGTGTAACAGTCCCTTTCATTCTTGGATTGATCAGCATATGATTTCTCCTAACAACCTTAACCCTTCATTTAGCATACAAGTAAAAAGAATTTAGAGAACCATCAACTAGGTAACATTGTTTGAGTGTCGCGCCAGTTTCTCACGTCCAGCCAGTAGAGACGTAAATATTATTGATCTGTTGAAAGAATTGGTTTTAGATCTTAGGGTTATGTTGATGTTTATGCGCAAATGTTATAAGTACACGAAGCTTTAATATTTATACTGCAGTCGAACCTGGCAGTCACTCGCTGGGAAGGACGATGAAAATCGCCATTTCATGCCATAATTAACCTCGATATACTGAAACCTCGCTCAAAAATACTTTTAACATTGATTTCGAGAGATCAAAATGTATTGAATTTTACCTGAAAGATAATTCTTAGTTTTATTTGAGTAATTCTGATTTAAGTGAACGATTAATACAAGTGGGGGACCATACGAAAAGGCCATTGAGACTCAGCAAAGGGTAGCCGCTACCGCTATATAGACGTGACTGCTCATTAGAGGTAAAACCCAAAGTAATTTCGGGACTTAAAAAACCGACCTTTTAATACAAAGTGACCGCTTAATACGGTGCCGTTTACTACAGGTTCGATTGTATTTAGAAAATTTTTAATGGTAATAAGACTGAGTGGGGTCCAATTCGTGCTCAAATCGGGCTGGTGGGAACCAATCATGTTCGAGAATTTCGTTATAGTTTTGACTATAATCCACTATAGGCGCCCTTCGATGAATCGGCATCACATCGAGGCGATTACTAGAAAATTAAGATCTACAAAATAAAGAAAACAAACTTTGGTTAGAATTTATTTGCTTTAAGGGAGCATTTATCTTGTCCAACTGAACGGTTTTGAAATATTACTCTCCTTTTCATGTTTAGAAAAATCTCCAGAAAACTAGATATAAATGAATGGTTTGTCATCGTGGAGTCTGGAGAAACTTTAAACTTCAAAGATTGCTTTTGTGGCAGACATGTGCGAACGTACTGTACAGGTGCCTTTGCGGGGTGATTGTCTTGCGCCCTGTGGATAAAAATTAAATGCAGTATTTTCATCACAATCAGAGTCCGTGGAAAAAGAAGAATTAAAACTAATCTTTCTTTGTTCCGTTCTAAAGAAAACTGTCTCTGTTGCGACATGCGGCCATAAAATATATGAAAACACTTTTGTTGTATAAAAAATTGAGGAATTTTAATTAAGCACCTTCGATCAGAAAGAGATTTCTGATGAGAGACATCGTGAAGTCTGCAATTTTTTGAAAGTCATATTCAGAATCAGAACATATATATATATATAAATATTTGGAAGGGTTACGACAACTAATTAGTTAGAAAAGGCCGACAATGATACTTAGTAGATGTCATTTTTGGAAAGCCTTATGGATGATTCTGGAGCTAGTGGTAAAGGAGCGACAAATTTTATGTATGTACATATATTTATGAGGCTTACAAGAAAGACAATCCTCATCGGTGCGGAAATGAAAAAAAAGAAATGATATTGAGATCAGTTTATGAGGAAAGATATTGGTTCTGTTTATCATTTTAGTTTCCTAAAGGTTTTTTTTGGCCTGGAGCAAATCGGGAAAGTAAAAACTTAAGATTGAAAAATAGGTTTTAAGCTAGGTGATCTTGTGGAAATACCGATAATGCAAAGGAAATAAGGGTTTATTTAGAGGCACTTTGTAAAGATTTCAGTTAAGTAAATGTGGGAATTCACTCCCATTAAATTTTTTCCATTAGCGAGCAAATAAAACATACTGGGCTTTCTTCCAAAGTTAAAAGCCTGCTGAAGCAATTAAGGCTAGTACCCGATTGGACTGGTTCTTGATAATGTAGGTCATTTTAATTCGGAGATCTGATCAAACAAATTCTAAATAGGAAATGCAGATGCCTTCAACATGAGTGGATGATCACTTGGACTTTCCAAGGGTTTTGATTTTCTCCTGAATGTTCGCTCTTATGATAAATGGTCGATTAGGAAAAGAGTAAGAGCTAAAGACAATGAAAACTCACATCAAGATAATTTGCGTCGTATACTTTGTCTCATCCATTGTTGTTTTCAAGAATCTCTTCTGTCACTTTTTTTAACCACTTTCTTTTTGAGAGTCTTGGATACAAAAAAAAAAAGCATGAATAATTTAAATATTTATGATAAGATTAAATATCACACCGGTGAAGTTACAAGTCAAGCTGCCGCAAAACCTTCATCGTTAAAACAGTTTCTGCAGATCGCAAGGTACAAAATTATTAAGCCTTTGTTACCCAGCGAGATAATCACCACATGTATTTTACAAGGAAAGACGTTATCGGAACGGAACTGAAGAATAGGAATTCGTTATTTGGGAGACGACAATGTTTTACCGACTAAAGGTACTGCATTTGCAATTAAGCAGTTGTTGTTCAAAACGTGTAACTGATGGCAACCTCTTACCACGTTAGAATTGAGGTCACATCGGAGTAAGACACATTCATGTCAGTTTCTACCCTATTAAACACAAGCAAAAGTTTTTTTCTAACTTAAAGGTATCATCTCACGAATTATTTTCTTTGAAGTCAATATCTATTGGATCGCACCGAACGGATGAGCTTACCAAGAAGCGGACAATACATCAGTTCTACAGTTAATTTTACACAACCATATTAGCACTGGGTATCTTCGTTTTAAGGACTCAATCCACGAAAAAGTTTATACGCTTACTGATCGAAGCTTGAAACCGAGGAAAAATGTCGAAGACATTGCTTCTACCACCAAGAAGTCTCAGCTTCATCGTTTTTGAATCTGTCGCTTCGATTGCACTCATCATTCTGTCTTTAGTTGGTAATGTTTTAATTCTAACAGCGCTGTATCGTAACCCGCGGTTAAGAAACACTACAAATAATTACATCGCCGCTCTTGCAGTGACGGACCTTCTCAGTGCTTGTGTCCCAGGAACTCTCTTTGCAAGTACACTTATTGCGGGGAGACTGGTCTTTGGAATGCCTTTATGTCGGCTGAGTGGTTTCCTGGTTCACTTTCTGACCTATTTTTCCATGACAACGATGACCTTGACAGCAGTCAACCGTTACTTCCGCGTTGTAAGGCCCCAGTTGTACCGGAAGTTGTTCACCAAGACAAGGTCTCGGGGAATTTTAGTAGTTCTCTGGCTTGTTATTGCCGGCTTCGTTTTTTATCCGACGGCGCTTGACATGGGAACGTTTACGTTCAACCCTGTGCTGTCATTCTGCGCATACACTTTTGCGAGTCAAAGCGCAGAAACGGTATTTACAGTGACAGTGGTCTGCGTTTTTGTCGTCTTTTCCTTGTCGGTAATTTGCGTGTGTTATTATCACGTTTCCAAAGAGATTCGCAGACACAACGTCGGAATACGTCTCTCCCTTCAAGGTGTTTCCGTCCAAGAAATAAATCTGTCCAAAGTACTCTTCATCGTGGCTTTCGCGTTTGCTTTATGCTGGATTCCCACGTTTGTGGTCGTCTTGATCATAAGGGTCATTTTGGATGGGGCCCCACACGAATTAGCTGTGGTGATTCCCTTCTTGATTCAGACTTCAAGCGTTTTGAACCCCCTCATATATGGAGTATTGAGTCCACCCTTCCGTCGGGAGTTCCGCCGTTTGTTTACGCCCAAATGGAGGGCTCGTTCTGGTGATATAAATTCAAATGCATCCTCGCCAACAGGACAGATAGGTCTGGCTCTGGAGCAGATATCTATCGGTCATCCATGCACTGGGGATGATTCTCGCAGGCAGGGAGATGGTTCAGATGAACTGGCACAGTTTCCAAGCTTAAAGGTTGCCTGGTCGGTATAAGCATATTTTGTAAAGTAATTACTTACTCGTCCTTTTAAATCTGTGAGAAGACACGTTACAAAAGATATCATTGTTACTCAATGAACGTGATTCTCGAATTGCTGGTCTCGTTATTGTGAGACCTTTGATGCTACTGTAAAGTATTAAACTGAGTGTCTAATAAAATGAGTCCAGGAATGCATCGAACCAGTTTGGCTTTACTGCACTCTGTGATTGGTCTTGAAAACTACCGCCACCTTCTCAACCAATCAGATGCAAAACTAACAGTAGATGTAGCTTGGTCACAAACTTGAAGTGGGTCAGGCGTAAATACTTCGAGTTCTTTTTGGCTCTTTGGGATGTTATCATTTGTTCTGATTGGCCTTTGTTGATCCGTCGTAGACTGGTTCAACTCTTCCAATATCGCCAACTTAAGGTGGAAAACCGTCGAATTTCCGTGACTCTCCAACAGTAAACCAATAGATTGATAGAGGAATTGAACAGCACAATGATTCCCGATACGAATAAGGTGTTCTTGGTCTACTCGATTTGGAATAAAATCGCCATTACAAAACTCACTTCAAAGAGCAAATAACAGAGAAAAATTGCACTAAAAACAAACAGAACTTCCAAAACAGACTTCCTGTACTTGGATATTTCCAATTAAGAAAATCCGTGCAATCTTGTCGCTAATTTGTTTTGATTCTGAATCTGCTCTCTGCGCCGTCGCAATATTGCGAAAATTTTATGATAGGAGATGGCAATTAGCGATTCCGGAAATACCTAAAACGAAGCCAAAATAAATGGATGCCTTTCCATACCAATCTATGGTAGAAAACCAGAAGTAAAACGAACATGGAAGATAAAACCAAGAAATAGCAAATTAACTTGATCACACGGCTTACAGTGATGGTGGTGGCATATCGCAGATGCAAAACAAAGGCAAGATATCGATCAACAGTTATCGCAGCGATGGTCACCAGAGAGACAACCACAAGGAGACTCCCGGAGGATACAGCATGGCGCTTGTGACGCGATACAGCGACATATTGCAAGTTTTTGTACCCATCGGGTGTAAGACACACATGGGCTGAACAAAAATACCGACAATAAAGTCGTGGATTATGCGAGAATGAAAAGAAATACGGTAAACGGTGCTTGTAATGAAAATGTCTCTTTTATGGTCCACATAACTAAAAAGTTGCCTGTCCTAGTGACTATACTTGATATGGTGCTGACTGACCAGGAAGCGATGGCCGGAGCGACTTTGATATTTTTAACGTCTCCAGGAAAAATAACGAGACAGCTATTGGAAGAAAAGGTGGCGTTAAAACGCGCGGAAGGATCCGCGATTAGAAGGTGCCTGCGGAGGATATTAATTACAATGAATGTAAATTTAGTGGAATCTCTTTCAAGCAATCACTTTGTATTAATAGCTGGTGGCTGTCTTAAAAAAAAGTTGATTAAAATCAAATTTCTACACCTTTCTTTTTTAGGTTAAGTTACAAAAATCAAACGGGGATTCGAAAGCTTGAGAACTCATTATTGAATTCAGAGTAAGTAAGAATTTCAAGTAATGTACTCGCTCGAAATGAGTCACATGGAAAACCACCTATGAATTGATTTCAATAAACGAAGAAGTAGAACTAGTAAATGAGATAAAAATTAACTGCTCTTTATTCGTATAAACCTAATATTTTTCGACTCCGGGAGTGATTTTATATCCCGCCCATGTGCTTCAGTTTTTGTCAATTCGCTTCTCACAATAGAGCACCATGATGCTGTCGAAGTTTACTAATTAAAATTTCAGAACTACAGTAGCCCACAACTGCCACGGCAAAAGAAATAACCTCGCGGCAATAGAAAAAGACTCACGGCAAAAAGAACAACCTTACGACAAAAAGGAAAAGACTTACGACAAAACAAAAAACCTCCTTTTGCCATGAGGCGTAAGTCTTTTCCTTTTTGTCGTAAGGTACTTCCTTTTGCCGTGAGTCTTTTTCTTAAGCCGCGAGGTTATTTCTTTTGCCGTGACAGTTGTGGGCCACTGCACAGAACACTGTTGATATAGATTTGACTGATTTTAAAACTTTTTAATCCCACAGTTCAGGAAGCACGTGGGATGTTTGGAGAGCACTCAAGAAGCTAGAGTTACTGTAGGCTACGCCTCGAGCAACTCTTATGCATCTTTCGTGCTCTCCAAACTTCCCACGTGCTTCCTATCTCGATGAACGCACGCTGACGTATGAACCAATTGTTAAATGAAAATAAGTGAGTCGACAATCCCCGAATAACAATCGTAGAGTGTGTTGGAGCTCACTCTTTGAGATGGAAAAATGCGTTGAATTATGATTACAAATAACAACAATGGTCGTAATTTTCAATTTACAAAATTCTCATCTATTGACTTTGTCCTTACCGACAAAAAAAGTCTTTCAGGTAAACGGCCAAAATCGGCCAGTGGCAAATCTTCCAGTTGTCGATTTTCTTTCTCAGCCGCGAGAAATGCTAACACCAAAGCCACTGAATACTAAACTTTCGGCTTCTTTTTGAATAATGGTTTTCTTCCCCTTGAAGATCGAGAAGTTTGAACCTCACTGTCTGTCAACGATACGGATTTTTAAGTGCCATATTTCGAGAAAGTTCCGACAAATTACATGTATTGAGAATCGTGAAGGCTTTGCCGTTCATTCATCAACCTGAAAGCCAGAAATCCCTGTATAACAACGCAGTTTATGTGATAAAGTCTTTTTTGAACTCCGATGAAGCTATAACATTTACTTATTTTTCACAGGTTATAACTTTGCAAGCTCTTCAATAATCAAGCTTATATCATGCATTTGAACAGAGAAATGAATGGTGAAAAGAATTGTCACTCATATGGGAGAAACGAGATGAGCTACTGATCACGTGATTATGACTCATTAAATGTGTCGCAAAGTACACTAGGCTATCATTATTGCATGGTTCGACTCGTCTAAGACTCACAACCCCATGTGGTAAAACGCTGACCCTGTTAGTTCACTGTAATTTCGAAATCGCAAAGCGCCGAATATCCGGCATTCTCCAACAGTTAACCAGTGGATATATCGAAGCGAGAGGATGTTCTTGCATATCAGTGCTCCAAAGACAAACACGATCGCAAAACATAAGGCACAAGGCAGAAACCTTAATATCACTGCACCAAGCACTTATAGAATGGCGAACACAGATTTTCTGTATTTGGAAGTACTTCTGTCGGATAATCCGTCTGTTCCTCTCACGTTGTTCAGACTTTGCCTCCCAATCTGGCGTTTTTATCGCCACAATATTGCGAAAACCCGACGATAACAAAATGAAATGGCTATGATACTTACAAATGTTACAATGAAAGCTAGAATTATCATAGATTTCCTAAAACAGTCATCTTTTGAGAACTATAAGTAAACGGCTAACACAAATGAGACTAAAAATGA